TAGGGCCTGGATCTGCTTCTGTGTGAGTATCCTCCTCCCTCATCATATTCATGGGCAGAGGAAGAGGAAACCTCTGTGATAAGAATCATTCAAACTATGGTAAAGGTCAGCTGCTAGTTTCTGTGGGCTCACAAAGGAAGGTGGCCATGACTGTGGACTTGGGGTCATTATGCCTAAACTGTGTAAAATGGGAAAATAGGAAAGTATCAGCCGTGTGTGTGTGTGTGTGTGTGTGTGTGTGTGTTTTAAATTCTTTTCACCAAAGGTGAGTTTGCTTAAAGGTGTCGAATCTCACTTTAAGAAAGGAATTGGGGGGTTTCTTCTTCCTATGTACTGGTAATTCTGAGGCTAGTTCACAATACGGTGCTCACTTTAGCCTTAACATGCCAGCCTCTCTCCACAGCTTTGTTGACCAGCTCTTTGTGGTACACTGCCCTCTCCACCCCGTCCAGCCCCAACTGACCCTTTGTGCATCATTTTCAAGGAGTAAAGTAATCAAGGCATGAAAAATAAATGTTAAAGGGAAAGATTGCAAGATTGCATTTGAATATGAAAATTTTAACAGGGAACCAATCAGTATATATATATGTAAGTGCTGGCCTGAGTAAATATGAACAGAGAAAAGACAACCGATTGCACCTGCTGCACACCAGGAAAGGAGAACCAAGCTACAGAGTCAGACCACAACCAGGCCAAGCAAAAGGTGGTTTCCTGGAGGTCATGGAAAGACCAAGCCAAAGTGTTGCCTACAGGGCCAGTTAAGGGAGCTTGGGAAGCCATCAAGCAACTCAGAGCTATGTGCATGTGGTTTGTTTCCTCCGTGTGTGGTACATGCACATGAGAGCACACACATACGTGTGTGTGTGTGTGTGTGTGTGTGTGTGTGTGTTGATATAGGCGGGTCTTTCTATGTGTTGCTTTCATTGGTTAATTAATAAAGAAACTGCTTGGTCTGATAGGTCAGAACATAGGTAGGTGGAGTAGACAGAACAGAATGCTGGGAAGAAGGGAAGTGAGTCAGACGCCATGACTCTCCTCTCTGAGACGGACGCTGGTTAGACTCATGCTCGTAAGCCACAGTCAAGTGGCAATACAGATATTAGAAATGGGTTAGATCAATATGTGATAGTTAGCCAATAATGGACTGGAGATAATGGGCCAGGAAGTGTTTAAATAAATACAATTTGTGTGTTGTTATTTTGGGTGTAAAGCTAGCCATGCGGGAGCCGGGCGGGACAAAAAGCAGGCCTGCCCGAAGCTCCTTCTACAGTGTGTGTTACATCTAATCTAACAATCTATCTCTTTATCTACCACCATACCATTGCCTCACTATATACGTGATCTTTTCCTTACGAAAATTAAGACAAAAGCAAAAACCCTACCAACTAAACAATAGAAAGACTTAAAAAGTCTGATGTCAAATTTCCTGGAAAATAAGACCTATTAAAAAATATCTTAAAATACCTTACAAAGGATATTCTGTTGTCTCATCCAAGTGATAAGCAATGTTGTGCACCTGCTTTGGGCTGACCGAAAGGAGAATTTACAGACTGTGACATCCACTAAGAGCAAAGTGCCAAGGATTAATTCCTGGACTGCCAGACGGAGGAGGCCGAGTTCTGAGGCTAGATTACCTGGAGCACAATGTGCCTATCTACTGAGTACATTCACTTTACTCTGAAAGAGTAAAGAACAAATGTCAAGGGGTTAGTGCAAACTTTACAGGCAGGAAAGTTAAATGGATTCTGGCAAAGAAAGCAAATCAAATCTCCCATTTGTGTTCAGTTTCATCTTTCCCATAAAAAAAAAGCGAATTCTCAAGACAAGAATATTTCTTTGCAATAAATATTTATTACTTTTGTATGGAAGTTTATATAACATATATCATAAATGCACAGAGCCAAACGAAACTCCAGCAGCACCTGTTCTTGCCAGATACAACATGCAACCCCCTACTCTGCATCCAAGAGCCTGACAGCCTAAGAGAGTACTAAGACAGGCCAAGTACAGTATAAAAACAATCAACAGTGGGAGGGGGGAGCTATGGCCAAGAGGGAAGGCTTCTAGGTGAGAGTTCTGTTAGAACAACAGTATCTACAGACACCTCTTTGGGTCTCAGACGCCCCATTTTCAAAGAGGGTCGGGAATTAATTCCATCAGTGGGGGATGGAAAGTACTTTATTCTAGACATCTCGCCCTAAGGTTGGACTCAATGACCACCGAAGTCCCTTTCAGCCCTGAGTATCTTGCAATAGCCCTACTTAGAAGACAGTCTTCTGGCTCCGAGTTGAAAATCTGGCTGGAAATATAAACAGACTTCTACATAAAACACACATTTACCAGCTATGATTTGGAATTGGCAAGATGAGGCTTTACCAGAGTTGAGAGGAAAACGTGCAAAATCGTCCCCAGTGATTACACTGTTTCGGCTGCACTGAGCTCCATCTAATGGTGCTGATGCAAGGCCAGAGCAGGGTCAGCTGCTGTCACATCCAACTTGCTCTTGCCCGACAGAGGGACATGGGCTTCGTTTTTAAGTTCCCAAGAATGTCATAGGAAGAGCTTCAAAAACAACTCCCTCTCCCTACCAGATTTGTCCTTTTCCATTTGGCAAACATTGCTTTATTTTTTTTATCATCCTCCCTTCTGTTTTACAGAGAACATAAGCCAACATGGCAACAGGCTTCTTGTTTATTTCCTTCCTCTTCAAAAACAAAGCCATGGCTTGAGTACATTTATCAGAACAAAGTCCACATAGAAAGGGACTTTTTGTGACTTTAGTGAAGGCCCCAGGAACAGGGCAAGGATGCCACTTTCACTGCTTCTGTTCAGCAAAGAACTGGTGGTCCTCGCCAGGGAAATTAGACAATACAAAGAATGAAAAAGGAGGAAGATGAATTGTACCTGTTCAGACAAAGTGAACACACAGACAAGTCCAAGTCTCAAGGAAACATTATTAAATTAATAAATTCAAAAAATTGCAGGATATCAAATCAACCTATAAGGGTAAGTAGGTTATTTATATTAACAGTCAACTCTGAAAAAGAAATAATCAAAAAGAAGTCACATTCATAGTAGCTACAAAAACATAAATAAGTTGGAATATAATATTTTAAGGATATGAAAGATGTTTACAATGAACTATCCAACACTGACAAAAGTCAAGCAAGGGGCAATTATTTTGAAGAGTCTATGTTCAGAGGTTAGATGATTTTTAAATGGAACCCATGGGCAAAACTTTCTTATTACTGTGATTAGTAACTTCTCATAGTAACAATCATAGCTTTATTTTTACCAGCTTCATACAATATCTATTACAATCTTATTATCATTGTTGCTATTTGATTTACATAATATCAGCAATAATATCAAAATATCACCCAGCTATATAAACTAGTCCATTGAAACACATCGGTACATTATCATCTTTTTAAGGAGGCGTCGTTACCTTCTTTCTAAAGGACAGCTAGGACTCGATGTCAGTGCCCACAGTCACTGCCTTAGAACATACTTCTCAACTACTTTTCAAACTGCAGACATTCAGTAGGAGAAATATTCAAAACATACCGTAATAGATTTAATAACAATCCAGGAAAGAAAATAGAAGAGAATTTTAAAATTATGCCCATTAACCAATACACAAAGAAGCATCCCAATAATAAACAGCAGCATATAAAAAGCAAGCAAGAATATTTCATTAAAATATGAATAAAATATACTCCACAAGAATCCATCTGTCTTACAATGCCTTTCTCCCTTAAGCGTCTGTCTAATGGTGCTGTCCTGAGGAGGTTCCACTCACCAAGGCCACTCTGGGAAGCCACCAAGTGCCTGCTTCCCCAGCACATAACCCCACCCGAATACACAATGCCGCTTGTACTCCGTTTACTTGCAAGGCCCACAGCTTCCAAATGAGTCTTGCCTTTCGTACCCTCAGATCTCCAGTGCTCAGATAATATCTGCACTGGAACGAAGACTATTTGGAAAGAACTGAATAATTTCTGCTTTGCTCTCCCAACCTAAACTTCAAGAGAAAGGACAACAGATTAGACCCTAGACAGTTCTTCCTTACAGCTTCCCTTCCATCCCATTCCCTGGGGGCCACTGCAGGCACACATACGCGAGCACACTAAGTATCAGAACAAGCCACACAACAGTCAACATTAACACAGTGTCCCTGTGTTGTAACTCGTAGGTTTCTGATGCTTGACTGTGCACAAGCAAACACCAGACACCATGACATCTCATCTGCAAAGCCAGGATTTCTCTAAGACAAATTCTGTATCATTATCTTCAGATATCTATGTTAACATCACCTTATCTGAGAATGGCAATCTTAATAATCTTATAATTTTCCTGTGTTGACATGATGTCTTCAAGCTTATGTGGGGCTGCTGGTCACAAGTCACTTTTGGTCAGAGCAAAACTGTTTTTCTTGTCACTCAACGTCTAGCTGGAGTTAGTTACTTCGTAACCTGTACTCTCCTGAGCACAAAACTCATACATCACTGATACGCATCTATAATATTCATCTTCGAAAACCTAAAACAAACGGCCCTACAGTGTCTTGCTATTGCTTTCATGAAAACAATGTAGCTGCCAGTGAGAGTCCACAATGAATAAGCAGATCCTTAAATATCACTCTTACTTATATAGAATACATAGCTTAAGGACAGAGAGAAAAGATAAATTTTAAAGGCCTGGGTTCGTGCCAAAAAAAAAAAAAAAGTGTAAACTTCTCAAACACATTTCTTTAAAAAAAAATCACCTTAGGTTTGAAAATGAAATTAATATGTAAAAGTTTTCTTTGGCTTCAGAGTGTAAGCCAGAAGAACTCTGAGAAGTGTGACTTGGGCATTTTGCATTCAAGTACGTTAACTCCTTGCAAGGCGTAAAGCTCTGGATAGACCTGAGGTAAATGCTCATGACACAGAAACCATTGGTGACATCACAGACATCCTAGCATGTCTTATCAACCTGACATCTCCCTCTGCTCTTACCTGCACTTTGAAAGCACCTTCATCCAGTGGTGGAGGAGGAGGGAAGTGTCCAGGGCCAGGAGGAATGGTACCAGGGTCATCCAAAGGTGGAGGTGGGGGTGGGAGAAAATCACCTAGAGAAAGGAAATACATATGTGATTTTTTTTTTTTTTTTTTTTTGGTTTTTCGAGACAGGGTTTCTCTGTGGTTTTGGAGCCTGTCCTGGAACTAGCTCTTGTAGACCAGGCTGGTCTCGAACTCACAGAGATCCGCCTGCCTCTGCCTCCCGAGTGCTGGGATTAAAGGCATGCGTCACCACCTCCCGGCTACATATGTGATGTTAAGAGGGATGCCATTTCATAGTACCGTTTAAAAGATACATCTGCTGACAATGTACTGTAACTGGTTTAGACCGTGTGTTTGCCTTATATAAAAAACTTACCTTACTTAGCTAACATGGATTTAATTAATAGCCTTAGCCATCAGAGGAGAAAAGGCCAAATTTGATATTACAAAATGGCATAAAAGTTAAGTGTAGAGGGGTCAAGGACATCAAGCAAAGGCAAGGGGTGTGCTTGAGGTGGGGACTAGGGGCACTGAAATAAAAGACTTGATAACTGGCATTAATAAAATCCTAACCAAGCAGAGGAAGACAAAATTTTGATATGTAAAAATAACAAGAAGTTCAATTTATGAGGAAGACAAACTTTGGGAAGTTAGCTAAAATAAAGCTTGTGTACAGGTAGGACAAAGGAAGGCTGTGCTATCATTACCTTCACCTGTACGACGTGGACAACAGACTCACTGTAGGCAGCAAAAGAATACCAGCAAACAAGTCACGTAAGCTACAACATGAACAAAGTCAACTACAGCATAGCAAAAACCATCGGAATCCAAACAGGAGAGGTAAGACAAAATAGCTGGGTGCTAAACAGCTAGGTGAGTCACACCCAGAAGGAGTCTAGCTTTCACCGTGCAGACAAGGAACCAGAGAGCAGATGAGCGGACACTTGACCACAAAGTAGATAGTTCAGATATCTAAGTACAATACACTTAAGAGACAAGAACGTCCCCAACCTCTTCAGCCAGCAAGAATGCACATGGAAAAATGATGTGTGTCTACTGATGTCTGAGGCAAACATCCAAAGCTGTATGACATGCTACGAAATATTTAAAAGGGTTTTAAAATGAATTTAGTTAGGAAATCGGACACCAGGATTGGCTTATTAATTTTTAGCCATTTGAAAAAGCATTTTTGTTGTTCCTTTAAAAATGCAGTTTCGACGCTCCACTTAGAAGTTTTCTTTACATGTCAGTGGCTGTTCCTTGCATTTCAGCTTTTGAACAATTGGTGAGGTACAGGAAGCAGGCTTCAGAACCAGATTTCTAGATAATACCAAAGTGTCACAACATTGATACCTGGATGGAAAGTCAGTCTAGGACTAGAGAGAGGAGTCCTGTGAAGGATGGAGAGTCAATGGGGCTTTGAAACACCTGGACTCCAATGTCTTTAACACCAAGAGTGCTATAGTGGGAGGGATAGCTAAGAGCAGCCAGGCCTAACTGCCACACTCAGCAGCTGAGACACTGTCCCTTGAGCCATCCCATTCAGTCTAATGGGCTGTCCCTAGGCAGCTGGCAGTGGGTTGGGTGATTTTCATACCTCCGTCCCTGTCCTGCAATCACCCTCTATGAGAATACTTCTCACTTCACAGTTCATCAGAGCCTCTAAGAGGTACTGGAAGATACAGACTGCTGGCCTGCACTCCCACAGACAACGACTGAGCAGCTCTGTGTGTCAGGGGGAGGGGCACCAATGATTTGCTTTTCTAAAAAGCCCAGGCAATTCCAGTGGCCCCAGTTCTTCTTGGACCATACTTCAAGTTTCACTGAATTTTCCAGAGAGCATTCTATACATGCATAAGAACCACAGGATTGGAAAGGCTCCAAAACTTCTGCCATGTAAGATCTGCCTGTATCTCTGACTCTCTCTTGAGAAACACTTTTCTTTCTTTTTCTCTTTCTTTCCTTCCATTCTTTTTGTTTTTGATTTTTTTTTTCTGAGATAGGATTTCTCTGTGTAGCTTTGGTGCCTGTCCTAGATCTAGCTCTTATAGACCAGGCTGGCCTCGAACTCACAGAGATCCGCCTGCCTCTGCCTCCTGAGTGCTGGGATTAAAGGTGTGCGCCACCCCTTCCCCTATTGTATAGCCTATGCTGAGACTCACACTTTAAGTTCAGAGATAAGAACTAGCAAATGTCATGCTAATAGGGGAAGGGGTGGGGCACTGGGAAGAGAAACACTCTGGAGGCAGGGGATGCACTGAGAAGGGGTGCATGGGCTGCAAAATAGGGAAAGAACTTGGACAACTTTTGAAATCATTCCAAGAATGATGACAATTCTGATGTGTAGATGAGCAGCCAGTAGACAAGCATGCTCAGTGTACAAACATGATAAGCACACGCGATATGTATTCTCGGGGAGAACCGTGACAATGACAAGCTGTCTCAAGCTGAGCCATAATCACTTAGGGTTATTCCTCTTGCTTCACACTGGGAAAAGGGGCCCCCAGCTCCTTGTCCTTTCCTCGTAAGGACTCCTATGCTTGTGTTTCAAGTTTGGATCCCGCCATCCCTGAAGAGACAGGGAGAACCTTTGAATGCCACAGTGACCGTGTTTCCACATCCAACTGAGAGCAGAGGGAGAGAGACTGTGGGTAGGCACGGACCCGGGAACCCCATGGGTATGCAGGACTTAGGTCATTACCAAACGGTGAGCTGAGCAGCGCTTTGAAAACCATCTGAAAGGGCTGTGACGTGGCAGGTCAAGAGAAAAAACCGAGGGCTTGTCTCATTCAAGGAATCACTGTCTCCGTCTTCTCAACCTGTGGACTCTTGTCATAACCAAAAATATGAACCTATGTCTTCTCCTGGAGATGAAGCCTTTTCACATGCTTCCCCCAGAGGTTGGCTATCCTCTAACAAGGGGAAGTTGCCAAACTCATGGATCCAGACACTTCTATGAGAATATCCGTCCTCCTTCTCTCCCTTCCTCTTCTTTGCGACATGGTCTCTATAGGTGAACTCAAACTTGTGGCCCTCCTCACTCAGCTCCCTGTGTGGACCGCTGTGTTCCATGAATCTCAGTCCTAGGAAGTATTCCTGGGAGTACTTTCTTGAACCTCTTGCTTCAGTGTCTGTTTTCTGGGTCTGACTGGACAACTCCAAAGAATAGAACACAGCATAGCAATCGGAGCTCAGTGAGTGTGGTGGCTCCAGCAATGAGGTTAAGCGGAGAGGAGGTAGGAAGAGAAGTCTGTACATCACCCAAGTACACCCAGAGTTCCATAGAAAGACGGGGCCTCCCTCACAGTGCCCTTATTACTGAGTGTCTGGATTCCTGCTCTCCCAGTGTACAACTCTTTTGAAAACTAGCTGGGGCAGTGCTCACTATCAACATAAATCATGGGCAGTCCTGGTTGTCCACGTTCATCATCAAAGAATCAGCAGCGACCCCACCCCCACCCCAGGGAGGAAGCCTCCACTGTGGATAAGAAGAGATGTGACACCGACTAAGGTTTTAGTTGCCACCTGGACAACCTCACATTGGGGCTCCTGAAGATACACAACAAGACACTGGAACACTAATCCTCGATCCTTTTGGCATCTTCATTTTCTTCTGGTTAACTAAATAAATTACTAACTCGGATGGTACTTAATTCTCTAACAGAAAAAATTATTTTAAGGAAAATACTAACGTTAAAATTACTAATGGAAAACATGTCTTCGGTCAGAAATATGCTAATTACCCTGTTTTGTGCCTACTTTCACACATGCATGTATCAAAAGTGTACATCTGACATGATTGCATAAGCTTCTATAACTACTACCCTGCAATTAGAAATATCATATATGTAAGCGTAAAAATACAGATGAAACACAGTATTCATGAGCATGTAAAAGCCGTATGTGCTCCTAGCAGGAACAGAAGAAATATCAGCTAAAATATCCCTTTAGAGTACATTGCAAAGGGTAACGAGTCCTTAATCATATTTACAGGCCTTAATTCGGGAATATCCACATTCAATAATTCATCCTGCGACAAAGTAACATTAAAAAGGCATGCAACAAAGCAGAGTCTGCATCTTCAACATGATGCAATATAGAGAAAGCCATCACAATGCTCATCAGTACAGTCCAGCCCACAAAGAAACTGCAGTACTGTGCACGGGAAAGCAGGAGAGCCACCAGGCTGATGCTGTCCACCCGCTTCTGTCATCTATCCACCCACTCTGCCCTCTGTGCACCAGGTATTACTCTAAACCAGCTGTGCTCAACTCTCCTAAAATGCTGCAACCCTTTCATATCGCTCCTTACGTAGTGCTGACCTCCAACTGTAAGCTTATTTGCGTTGCTACTTCATAACTGTAATTTTACTACTGTTATAACCTGCAATGTTAATATCTGCTATGCAGGATATCTGCTATAAGACCCCGAGAAAGGGCCATCTGATCCTCAGGTTGAGAACCATTGTACTAGACCCTAGAGTGTGTAGGTACAAACAAGTAAAACACACAAAAAAATAAAAGATGTTGCCCCCAGAGAACTTACAATGTCTCAGGAAAAGGAGGGATGATTAAGAAACCAACAGCTAATATGAGCTGGATGTCACATGGCAAGGAACATACTGAAGAAACACAGAGTCAGAAGGGGAGCTGGTAGGACGATGGTGGGATGCTGCAGCTTTAAAGAACAGGATTGAGAAATGCCTCACCGAAGTGGCATTTGGGGAAAAACTTAAATGGAGTAAGGGAGTGAGTCACGGAATATCTGGGGGCAGGAAAGGAGGAACGAGTACATTACCAAGTGGAAGAGACGGGCAGGCTCCGCAGAGGGCTGCCAGCACGGAGCTGCCTTTCTACCCGGCTCGATGGAAATAGAGGTTGGCCGGAGCTTACAGCAAAACAAATGTTGGTTTGTATCCTTCTCCTTCTTAGTTAATTCCATACAATAAATATGAATTTTATCTTTGCATTTTTTCAGAATCAGAAGAAAGATACTTTGAAATGAATCGCAGAATCTACTTAGACTCAGAGTGTAATTTTAATGCATCACTATATTTACCCAAGCTAAA